TGTAAATTTAGCTTGAAAATTTCGGTCTGGATTCGTTAATCAATAAATATCGTTAATCAAATATCTCATTATTGCTGCGAATAGGGAATTAAATTACCTATATGATCGTTTATTGATTAACGAATCGAAAGCGGGTTACAAGCCCGCATTTACGAGTGCTCTTATCTAGAGAAAGCTCATCATTTATTTCAATGCGATTGCAATATGGTTGCGATAATTACTCAGCAATCTTAATTCCTTCGTAATAATATCCCTTTAAAAATATAATAATTTTAATTTACAATGTTACTTTATGAAATGTTAGATATAAAAAAAAGTATTATATGCAGTTTAACGTTACTTTACATTTCGTATGGTAATATAAAATTACATATGAAATTATATCGAATTTCCAAAGTTCTCAGTAACTATTAACGCATTTTTTATTGATACTTTTTTCATGTTTTTCTGATTATTCGCAAGTGCGTATCCTTCGCAAATGCATATAAATAATTGAAAAACTTGCCGTATAAAAGCTATTTACGCGGAAATATTTTTCATTAAATTTTCTAAAAACAAAAAATCCAAAAACCACACTAACCCGCTGGTGTTCAAAAGGAGCGAGTTCGCATGCTAATGGCGGCAATTATCGTGAAAGCGATGGCTTAACTGTTACGTTTCTTGCTGGAAAGAGTTGTTAATACTTCGCCCGATCCCACGGTGATAACCCAATTCACTGTTCGCTATACGCGACAGGTTGGACTTGCTGCAGAACTGTACGGTAAACAATGCCAAAACTGTTTTCGCGGATCAAGGAGATGCGAGTCAACTCACCACGCACGCGCTCGAGAAAGTCACATTTTTACATACTGTAGAAGACACATACACACGTGCAGTTACTATAAATGGCTCGTTATGACGCCACTTGTTGTCACAGCCTTCCCTATTATAACCTGAACCCTATTATAAGAAGAGTTCATCTCGTGAGCACTTGTTTCCGCTTGTGAGGCTGGAAAGAATATCACCGACAGGGTTGGTGGCGGCTTTTATCCTCGGCTAGAGAAAACCTAAAATTGCATCCCTCTGACCGATATACATTCGCCGAGACATGGAATCGACGAAACCAGCCTTTATGTTTTGAGCTACAAAGATAAGCCCGGAACATTGCAAACACCGATAAGTCAATACAACATAAAATGCATTTCCTTCTTTATATTTGATCTTTTCTCTCGCCTATATTATGTTAGCTCTCTTTTCGAAAATACTCGATTTATAGTATTTATGCGTTTGCTATATTATTTAGTGGAAATAGTGAGTATTTTGTGGTTTACAATTTGGCAAATGCAATGTAATATTAATAATTAAAATTAATAAATCATCATATATTATTACAGTACGAAATTGGAGATATGTATATCGCGCTTTATACTCTTTCATTGGAATAAATTTGGTAACTGATCCGAAAACAGAATTACATTTCGCTCGTCTATTCGTTTCTATTGCATCAGGTATATATTTGAATTAATTTTGAACTTGGAATAACATGTGAACAAAAATGTTGTAAAATTAATAAATACTTCATTTAATTAAATTAAGTATTTGCAATCGTCCAAGAGAAGTGATTTGTTAATTATTAATTTTATTAGAAGTATTCTTAATTATTAGATGAAATAATAATGATATCTTATCCTTCAGAATATATCATAGCGATAGAATAAACACATATTCAATCTGGATTTCAAATACACCATTAATATTTGCGCACTTTCGTAAGATATACAAGCGAAGTTCCTCATTTATATTATTCTTATATTTACTTAGTAATGTAATCAGATTCTACATTTCTATAAACATACATTTTATAAATGGAAAATAAAAATTATAGATTGAAAAAGGAGAAGAAGGGGAGGGGGAGAGAGAGAGAGAGAGAGAGAGAGAATTTACCGATATTAATTATCTAATTTATTCCAAATTAAATTAAAAAATTTACTTGGATTAAATTCCACTTGTCAACTAATATATTGACCAGCGATATTTATCGTATCTGTTTCTATATTTGTTTGTAAAATATAGCGTACAACAAACAATTGTGAAAAATTTTGCAACACAAATCTGTAACATCGATATTGATCGAGAATATCTCTGAAGTACTATATTCTGAATTTTCTCTTATTTGTAACATATTTTAATGCATGTACATGGAAATGATTTTGTTGAAGTATCTAAAAATTTGGCTAGGTACAGATCTGAAAAAATTTTGTTGGGAATTTACATATGAATATTATTTATCTGCTTCGACTGAGAAAAGAATTTTTTTTCTATTATCTGATTTATTTTTATCAGTCAATTTCCACTTGTAATTTTTTTATTAGACCACCAAAATAATTATCTAGAAATTGCTCAAATTGATTGCTATAGAATGTCAAAATTTTTTGAAACATTGTTCATTATGCTTAAGTTTTTAAAATCCTTTTCGTATAAAAATTAAATGTGCAGAATGTTTGTTATTTCTATAATTTCCTGGACGCTTACGAATAATAGAAATAATTAACTAGCATGAAGCACAGCAAAAAATAGTAGATACTTGGACATGGTAGAATAATTAGTGAGTCAAATGATGAAGAAATTCGTGAATGAAGTGTGTATTATTTTAACAAGATAGGGGCAACTCAAATTACTGACATTTGCGGTTCGCGTGATCACCAATTTCCTCGCAATGCGTTAGAGACGCAACAAGATTAACCATTACGATCGATTCGTATTGGCTGATGTGTACATAGACGATATTAACAACAGACGAATGCAGTCGCGAGATAACTGCTGGAAAAAAAAGATAGCCCTCAGGATAGTGCATAGCGCTGTATGACGTCAGTCCAATTATGGGCAGATTGCTATGACGCTTTTGAAATCGACACTTCGCGCAACGCCCATGGGAATCTCAAACGTCCTCCATGCTCACGCGTTCTTTTTTTATCACCGACTTTGTCGGCCCGCCAGCGTAGATAGTCAGCCTCCGATATTAAATTCTAGAGATGCGAAATGCCGCTGAAACGATTGCACCCGTCGCGGTACGTTCTATTTCGCGTGAATATCGAGTAGCAGCCGGCGAGAACAGTCGACTTTCCGATCGCGAGTTATTGTCTGTTACCGACGCCTTCGAGTCTCGTCGAAATTTCTTTGCGGTCCTCTATCTAAGCGTAATATGAGTTGTGCACTCGGGACTCATCGGCGATGTTTCACCAGCGCGCATGTCATTCGAGATATCAAGAAGAAAAGGGAGAAACGCACGTCCTCGCGACATCTTACAATCTCTCTTGTGTAAGCGTTACAATGCGTTCATACAGATGAGTCTGTGTTAGTCAGCTCCCTTAAATCACCGACTGTGCTGTCCCTTTCAAGCTGTAGATGTTAGGAGAATCAGGATTCAAGATAGTAGACAGCTTTGAAAGCTTTCCATAGCATTATTCTCCTTCTCATTTATCTGGGTTTCTACCGGTAGGATTTATATTAAAAGACTATCTAGTTTTGGCCATCTAGTTGAATACTGAAGCGTGACATATCTGGAACCCAGCCTACGTAACGATAAATGTGTACACGGGAAAAATGATGTTATATTAATAACATTATTTT